GGGGGGGGGGGGGTGTGGATAAGGACATGGGAGGATGAAGGGGAGGAATTTGGGGGGTGTACACAAGAGGAAATGGGAGACGATTGTGTCAATGGGGGTGTTCCATACAAAGGTGGGGAGAGCTGGGGGGTTGCAGGTAAGAGAGAGAAGGATGTGCAGGGGGTGTTGAGGGGTGGAGGAGATGTGGAGGGGTGCCCAGGAGACAGGGGAAAGGGGGGGTTGGGAGGAATGTGAACGCAGGGAGTGCGGGGGGGCTGCCAGGGGGGTGCCGGCGGGGAGGGTCTCCCCAGGGCCGGGACCTCAGCCTCTTTGTTGCTGTCTGGCAGTATCAGCGCTGGGGGTCCCCCAAGCCCAACCCCACTATGGCGACTTCCCCCTTCCTGCTCGACCTCCCGCCCACGAGGAGCCTCCCCAGACCCTCCCAGGCCCCCCTCGGGTCGCGGTGCGGCGGTACCGACCTGCGGCGAGCGGGCGGGAGCAGCATCCCCCGGCCCCGCATCCGGCTCACGTCGCCATGGCTACGGCTGAACCTCGCTGTCCGCGGCCCCCCCGCACCGACAGACCCTGACGGATGGACACGGGGCTGCGGACCCCGAGACGCCCCGCACCGGGACACGGCCCCGCGCATAGAGGGTGGACGCACGAGTGGGCAGTACCTCCCCTACCCCACACACCCCACCGACACCCCCAGCCCCAGGAGGTGCAGGGACGCCCCTCTACCCCCACACGTGATACATCCAACTCCTGTCCTGACACATTCCTGTGTTCCCATGACTACACCGGGGCCCTTCGCCCCAGTTTTGTTCTCAGCTTTTGGCAACAAGTCCCTGCACCCCCATGTCAACACGTCCAGATCCAGACCCTATCCCTGCATCTCATCCCCACACCCCAACCCTGCATCCCCATTCCTGTCTCAGCCCTCCCACCTGACCCATCCCAGGTGAGTGCTGCTGGCTCTGGCTTCCCACGCTACGTGGATTTGGGGGGTTCCAGGAGGAGGCCTGGGGTGCAGCTGTGGCACCAGGCTGCACATGTTCTCCCCACACAGCATCTGCAAATTTTGGTTTATGACATTTCCCCCCTTGAAATTTCCCTTGCCAGAAAGCCTGGCCCTGCTGGTGCTTGCAGACCCCGCTCCTCCTGTGGAACTTTCCCCCTTTGCCTTCCCAGCTGTGTGAGAGCACAGTGCCATGAGCCCCAAAACAGGATCCCCAGCCACCACTTCCCCCTCTGCAGCCACCTTCCCCGTATGACCTCAGTCTTGCACACCCTCAGCCCAGGCACTGGCAAGGTTCCAGCCTCTGCACCAGCTGGGGTGCAGTATCAGCGCCCCCACAAGCCTGCAGCAGGCCCATTGCCTGGGGGACTTGCTCTGCCAGGGCTGGAGAGCAGAGCCAAGTGCCTCTGCAGTTCCCACAGGCTTCAGGAGGCTGGAGCCTTTCGCCGGGATCTGTAAGGAGCTTGTGCCTAGTGCCCACCAGCACTGGAAGCTTAGCTGGAGCCTGCTGTGGAGACTCCTTCCACCCCAAGGCTGAGCTGTGGCCCCTCAGCCCTGCCTGGACACCCCCAGAGTGCCCTGTGGGGCTCCTATAACCTGCAGCACCTTGGGGTTCAGCTATGGGGGTAACAGTGGCCATGAGCTCACATCTTAACCCCCCCCTTGGGATTAGCGGGGTGGCTTGACCTTAATCTCCCTGGGCACGCAGAGGCCCGGAGGGGCTGGTGGGGCCCCCAGCACCCACTCAGCCATGCCCTGGCTGGTAAACCCTGGTGGCTTGCCAGACACTGGAGTCAGTCATTGTTCCAAGGCTTCCTGTGCTAGACTTTCCCCCAAAAAACTGGTGGTCCTCAACATGTGCCCAAATTCCTGCCCACCCAGGGCACCCCTGAAAAGACCCCAACATTCAGCACACAAGTGAGGAAGGCCAGACTGCAGGCTGTATGGCCCCTGCTCTGGGATCCCATCTCCTTCCTGTCAGACCTGAAGCAGGGCTCAGATCCGGGGGACAGCAGAAGGAGTGGGAGAAACCTGACCTTGAGTCAGTGCTTTGGCTGGAGAGGGGCTGGAGCTTTTTCACAGGCTCTTCTGCCAAGTCCCCTTAGGGGTGTGTGAGGTCCCTGTGGGCTGTAGCTCCCCTCTGGGCTGTGCAAAGTCCCCATGGCTCCACAGGGATGGGAAAGGTCCCCACGGGGTTATGCAAGGTCCACACTGGGGTGTGAAGGGTCCCAGTGGGGAGTGTATGGGCTCTGTAAGGACCCCATTCTTGTCTGTATTGTCCTTACAAGGCTCTGCAATGTCCCTGGGGGCTGTGCAGAGACCCCACGGGTCTCCAGCTCACCCTTTCCCCGGTGCGACCCAGCCCAGGAGTGCCAGGACACTGAGGCTTTGTGGGGGACATTGGTAGAATCCAGGGCATTATTTCCCTGTTGCATTTCTCCATGGCAGCTCCCCATGACAGTTCCCGTGTCTCTTGCCCCACCTCCTCCCAAGAACATGTCCAGGCAGCAGCACGAGACGCCAGCACCATGGGTGACTTCCCCCCATCATTTCGGAACCCGCTATTTCAGGCACAACCTCGACTTCTGTGGGATGGCAGTGCCAGGCCTGGAGTAGGGTTGGATCCCCATGAGAAGGGACAGGCTGCAGCATTGTGTGGGTGGCTGCCCCAGCGTTGTGGCATGGGTATCCTTGAGCTGGCAGAAATGGGAGGCAAACAGGGGACAGCGAGGGGGCCAGTGTGTCCCCTCTCATGCTGTGAGCACCTGCCTGACACCTCCCTGCCTCCCTCCCCTGGGAGGGAAGATGGCACCTTGCTGGGTATCCACAGGCTCACGTGGAGCTGGGAGGTGGCAGCGATGCCCTTGACCCCCTGGCACCCCCCGCCCTGCTGAGCCTCAGCCCTGCTGCACCCAAACCCGGGGTGATGTGGCCCCACACAGCATGGGGGAACCCAGGCATCCAAGCACTGGGGCAGGGGGTACCCCCAGACCAGGCATCCCGGGAACCTACCTGGCTGTGCCTGCGCCCCGGGCGCCCGCCTGCGTCCCCTCACATCGCGGCTCCGCAGCGCTGTGCCTGGTAAAGCCGATTATGCATCGGCTTTACGGCTCTCCTTCTCCCCAGCGTCCCCTCCTGCCTCACTCCAGTGCCTGGCACGGCCTGGGGGCACAGGGGGTCCCCTTGGCAGAGTCTGGGGGTCATCCCTGTGGTAGGAGCAAACCTTCACTCAGGGGTTCACTCAGGTTCTGCACCCCCCCAGTCCATCCCATCCTGGGGAACATCTGGTCCCCAAAACGAATCTCTGAGTCCTTACTTCAAATTCCATCCCCTGTCCAGCCCCTCTATGGGGGGCTCCTTGCCCAGCTGGCCCAGTTCTTAGCAACCCACCCTCAGGTGAGCCAGGGTGTGAGGGGCCACCCCACTTCCCCCCATCCATGGTGGGTGCTGAACCCCAGCCCCAGCTGTGGGGTGGAAAGAGATCCCTGGGAGGGTCCCTTTGCTGCTGGGGTGCAGCACAGCACCCCCAAATCCCCCTGAACAGCAATGACGACAGCACACAGCATGGGAAGGGTTCAGCTGTATTTTGACTCTGGAAGAAAATAGAGGCAGTAATACAGAAGCTTTGCAAGCGTGGATACATACACGACCTCCCAAAACCCACTGGAGTGGGGGGCTTGTCCTGGCACCTTCTCCAGCCCTACCCCGCTGCACTTGAGGTCGGCAGGGGGGGCTGCGGGTGTTCCTCAATAAAGGCAAAAGCCAAGATATCTGTCAGTGGTTCTTGCCAAGGGGGAAGCTGCACCTACCAGATCCCAAAATCTGTCTCACTCGAACAAAAAACCTTCCTAGGTGCTTTCCTGGCAAACGAGCTCTGGCCTGGACCGAACATCTTTCACTTAATCCCTGAAACAGCTCCTGAGCTCCAGCCACCAGAGATGAGCCTGAATAACCACAGCCGAGAAAAGCTGGGGTGAACCCTGCTGGATGCAGTGGCCCCAGAAAAAAGGGCCTGGGGGAGCCCCACTGGGGCTGAGCTTGTGGGACCAAGGTCCATCACCCCAGCTGTCAAATCCATCTGGTCCCAGAACGCAGCTCTGTGTGTTTTCACTTCCCCTACTCCATCTCCACTCGATGCCAGGCGGGAGAGATCCAGTGGGGTTCCCAGCCCGGTCCCCACCTCAGCTAAGGCACAACTCGGCTGATTAAGAAAAAGGGAACCCAAAAGGCAAGAGGTGCCTGGGATGGGGAATATGGGGACTACAGTACACAGAGTGCCAGGAGTGCAGGCGGGCAGGGGGCTGGGGAGGGGGCAATGGCCACAGAGAGACTTGGGCATCACCCGTGAGCTGCCAGGAGCCCCCGCGCCAGCACCGCCAGGAATCACAATTCAAAAAAAGAGAAAAAAAAGGGAATTTTGGCTTCAGATCCCAAGAAAAAGGGTTGTAAAGGCACTGTGTTCCGCTTGAGACAGGACAGCAGCCCCTGTGGCACACAGCTCCAGTGGGTATGGCTGCGCTTCTCCCTGTCCTATATAAAAAGCTTTGGCAAAAAAGGCACAATCTAAGGAGCATTTCAACTATGAACTTCTCCTGCGTGGCTGCTCTGTAAACACAGTTCTTTGCGGTCTTTGGCTGAAGTTCTAAAAAATATCTGAAGCTGAAAAGCTATTTTTTGGTTTGGTTTTTTTTATATAGAAATAGATCTTTTCTTTACAAAAAAAAAATCAAAGCATCTTTTAGCACTTTTAATATATATATATATATAAAATTCCTGCTATAGAAAACAAACAAACAAAAAAAACCCCTTGGTTTTTGATATTAGAAAACAAACAAACAAAAAAAAAAACCTTGGTTTTTGATATCTTGTTTTTTTGAGGGAAAAAATTTGTTGCTTTGGGAAAAAAAACCAAAACCTAGCTGGAGACGGGCAGGAGCCACAGGAATGCGCCATGGAATTACATGATGCTGCAGTTCTGCACAGCCTGAGCCTGGGAGGGAGAAAGAAAAAGAAGAGAGTTAAGAAGACCCCAGTGTCACCATCCATCTGCTCTGACTGCAAAGTGTCTACTGGGATCCTTTGGATGCCCACAGTGCCCCCACACTCTCATCCATCCTGGCCCTTGGGGTGTGATAAATAAATCCTCCCAAGCTGGGATGTTCATAGCTCCAAAATTTGAGATCAGTGGCAGGTGATATATGAAGATTATAATATTGACTAAGAGTATCAATACAGGATATGTTATAATCTAATATATATACATATATATATATACATACAGTATATATTAAAGTGCTGAAATATTCACGTTACCAGCACGAACACTTGGAATGAATGATGTGGAGCATGTGGAATGCTCTGGGGTGCCAAGGGGGCCAAGTGCAAGATGGAATAGCATGGGAAGCTGCACTGGCCACATCCCTTTCCAATCCATCTCAGAATCTCCCATCCCTTATGAAGAGGCTTGTGAGAGCCCAAAAAGGAAGAGGAAGAGCAGGTGGAAGGAGAGGTGGGAGGGGACAGAACCCCCGCAGCATTGTCCTGTTGGGAAGGACGATGCCAGGACCGGGTGGAGCCCCAGCATCACCGGGACAGCCGGTGCTCCAGCGCCAGGGACTGGAGCCAGGGTTTGGGAACTGACCTGCCTGCGGGGGCTGGAGCTCCCCAGGAGGTAGTTCCTGGACACCAGGCTGTCCCCGAGGCCGATGCCAGAGTCACCCATGCTGCGGTAGCTGCGGGTGACGGTCACGCTGGAGGTGGACGAGCCCGAGGACATGGTGTTGATGCCGGCGTTCTGGGTGCCCGACTTGTCGGCCGGCTGACCACACGTGCCGCACACGACCGTGCGGGAGCGCAGGTTGTATTCACCAGGGTCCCCAGAGCCACTGCAGCCCTAGACATTGAGAAGGACAGAGAAAATGACCTCAAGCTCCTGCCAGAGCCTCCTCTGCCCTGAGCCCTTGCCCTGAGGATGGTGGCAGCACCGGTGTGATTCTGGAGAGCTCTTCACATTAGACCTTGAAGAGAGGCTGACTCACCTGTCCTCTCCATCACGTGGTTTAAAAATAATAAAATAGAATCCTTATTATTGTGTTTCTAATCCCAAGTGACTGGGGCCAGCACACTGCCAGTGGGTGACCTGCCTTGCTGCCCTGACTTTGCACCCTGAGCTCTCAGCACATGGGAGACACCTGAACTCCTGAAAACATCCTCTGGCAGCTTTCCGATGGGAAATTTGCTCTTGGAAAAGATTCAGCCTCCAGATGAATGGGCAGCACTGGCTGCAGGAGCTTGGCTCCTCTGTCAATATAAAAATGAATCACAGAATCATGGAATGGTTTGGGTTGGAACGGACTTGAAAGCTCATCTCATTCCAGCTTCCTACCATGGGTAGGACATCTGCTAAACAAGGTTGCTCTAAGCCCTGTCCAATCTGGCCTTGAACACTTCCAGGGATGGGGCAGCCACAGCTTTGCTGGCTAACCTGTGCCAGTGGCTCACCTCCCTCATAGGGAACAATTTCCTTCCCAATATCCCATCTAACTCTGCCCTCTAACTGTCAGTGGGAAGCCATTCTCCCTTGTCCTGTCACTCCAGGCCCTTATCCAAAGTCCCTCTCCAGCTGTCTTGGAGCCCCTTTAGACCCTGGAAAGAATTCTAAGGTCTCTCTGAAGTCTTCTTTTCTCCAGACTGCCCCCAACTCATGCAGCCTGTCTCCAGAGCAGAGAGACTCCAGCCCTCAGAGCATCCTCATGGCTATTTCTGGACTTGCTCCAGCAATTCTGTGTCCTTCTTGTTCTTGGGGCCCAAGAACTGGACCCTGCACTTCAGGTGGGTCTCACAAGGGCAGAGTAGAGACAATCCACTAGCTCAACATGCTGGTATCAGTCTTGGCACAGCTCTTCAGATCTGGAGAACTCAAAGGGAAGTGGGTGATGGATGCCCCATTTTACTCCTGCAGAGCTCTGGAAGCGGCATCCAGATCTTTCACCATCGTTAAGACACGGCTTGGCCACGATGGCACCTCTCTGCACGTGATTCCTGTGGGCATCTTGTGTGCAGGACACACACACCCTGCAGGATGGGCTGGTGGAGGATGCTGGGCTGCAGCCAGCGATGTTTCTTTGGGTGAAGTGGCTGCAGCTCTGGTCCTGGCAGGCTGCCTGCTCTCTGCCCACTGCCTGCTCTGGTGCATATTTCAGCTCTGTATGGGGAAAGATGGGCTGAGAGGAAGGACAAAGCCACCTCTGGATTTGTTCCAGCACCCTCATGAAGCACAGAGGACAGAGCAGCTGCTGACAAGAAGAGTTGTCCATCAACTTCCCACCATCTTATCCTCCAAGCAATGGAGGGTACCAGCTCAGCCTCCCTCTGACCCTTCTGGCCCTTTTCATGGCATGTCATCCTTAGGGTTGGAGACAACTTCCAGCAAAGTCTTCAAAGCTTTTGTTTACTGAGCAGCAATTTCCTCCAGATGACAGAGGTCTGTTGGCTTCTCTCATGCAGTTGTTTTCACAGTAGTCTCCTCACTGCCTTCTCCTGTATGCCTGACCCTGTGTGATGCTGAGCTCCCTCCCACCCTGACTGAAGCTGCACTCCCTTGGAGCCCTTGGAACCAGCAGCATCCCCAGCACCCTACTCACATGGTGATGGCGGTGGTGGATGCTCATTTCATCTTCATCCTCATCCTCATCGTCATTGATGATCACAGTGCGGACCAGTTTCCGCATGGCCACCTCCTGCAGGGGACAGGAGGTGAGTTGGGAGGTTCAGTGCCTGCCACCCCCCGTGCCAGAGCTGCCACCCCCGTGCCAGAGCTGCCACCCCCGTGCCAGAGCTGCCACCCCCCGTGCCAGAGCTGCCATCGGCTCTCACCTCCCCGTTGGAGTTGATGAGGGCAGTGCGCAGGCTGTCCCCAGAGCCCCAGCTGCTCTGGGCTTTCCACACCACATTACTGGGGGGGCTGTGGGTTGCTCCAGCTCCTGAGGCCCAGATCTAGGGAGAAAAGCAGGAGAAAAGTGACTTCTCAGGTCTGCAGACTCCACAGCCTGGGGACAGGGGTCTATCACCACAAAAAGCCACCACACACCAACCACTCCATGTAACCAGAGGCCTGGCAAGGTTTGGGATCTTGCCTTGATCCTCCAGCAGGCAGTGACTCACCGTGACCACCTGGCCAGCCTTCAGGGTGAACTTCGGGGGGAAGCGGTAGGTAATGGGGGGATCGTCCCCATTTTGCCGCTTGATCTGCCAGTTCCCCATCGCCTGGTCCTGTGAGAAAGAGCAGCGACCCTCAGAACCCTGGTTCCTCTCCAACTTGTCCCATTCACATCCTGCCCATAGGGTGAAGCAGGGCTGAACCTCACCCCAGGGACTCTACAGATCTCCCCAAAAGATGTCTAACCTCGTTGGACTTGTTCCTGAGACGGACGAATTTGCCCTCCAAGTCCACCTCCTCCACGCCAACCCGGCCACTGGTCCGGGCATGGTGGGAGAAGCTGGTCCGGCTCTCACTGTCCTCCAGCTTCCGCTTCTTGGAGGAGCCCGGGGTGGACAGGTGGCTTCGGGATGCACCTTTGTGGGATGAAGGGCTGGGGGACAGCCTCAGCCTGGCAGGGGGAGAAGAGGAGATGAAGCCAGTGAGGACACAAGGGCTGGGACCCACGTAGCCCAAAGCTGGGCACAGCACCCCGCGCTCACCGCTCCTCCTCGCCCTCCAGCAGCTTGCGGTAGGCATTGATCTCCATATCCAGAGCCAGCTTGATGTCCAGCAGCTCCTGGTACTCATCCAGCTGCTGCTGCATGCGTGCCCGCATCTCAGCCATCTCCCGCTCCTTGTCGGAAAGCAGGCGCCGGTTGGTCTCGCGTTCCCTGGCCAGAATATCCTCCAGATCGTGCAGCTTCGCTTCCTTGGCAGCCAGCTGTGGGAAGGGAAGGTGAGGGTGGGCCACTCCACCCGGGACCATGTCCAGAAGGGGACCATCCATCCCCAGGGCAGACATCCCAAGGAACCCTCTGGTCTCAACTCACCTGCTTCTGCAGTTGGCTGACTTCTGAGGAGAGGTTGTCAATGCGGATCCGGGTCTGCTGCAGCTCCTCATGGGCAGCACCCACCATGTTGCTGTTCCTTTCAGCCGACTGCTTGGCATTCTCCAGCTGGGGGACAGGACAGGGGGATCAGCAGCTCAGCACCCACAGCCCACCCATGCTCTGTGGGGCTGGAGGGAAAGGAGAGTGGCATGAGGAGGCTACTCACCTTTGCCCCGTAGGTTTTCTCCAGTTCCTCCTTGTAGAGCCTGATCTGGGCTTCATGCTGGCTCCGCAGCTCCTGCAGGGCCTCAGAGAGTTTGCTCTCGAACTCCCGCTGCCGCCCATTGTCGATCTCCACCAGCCGGGTTTCGTGGCGCCGCTTGGTCTCCCGCAGCTCCTGAGGACAGGTCAGGGGACACTGTGTCACCTCAGGGAGGGGACAGAACAGTGGGGGTTACAGCAAGTGATCCCAGCCCCATCGCGGCACATCACAGCTCACCTCGCTGTAAATGTTCTTCTGGAATTCCAGCTCTTCCTTCAGGGTCTGCAGACGGTTCTCAGCATCCACACGGCGCAGCATCTCATCCTGCAGCTGCTTCTTGGCTTCGTTCAAGGCACTTTCCAGCTGGCAGGGAATTGAGAAACACCATCACAGTGGGCTCTGGGCACTGCACCTGGCATGGCTGGGGTCTCACCACCCAACTGCATCAGCCCCACAGCCCCTGGCATAGCAGGGACCTGGCAGCCCCCAGGCAGGGGGGTAAAAAGGGATCCCTGGGTCAGCTGGAGACAGAGCTGCCACTGCTCACCTTGGCCACCTGTCCCCTCAGGTCCCGCACTTCAGTTTCCAGATTCCTCTTCTCACCCAGGGCGGTGGAGAGTGCAGCCTCTTTGGAATTAAGCAAAGCCTCCACATCCTTAAGGCGTGCCTGGGCAGTCAGCAGGTCCCCTTCCTTCTTGGCATTCCTGTAGGGCAAAGGGTGGCACAGGTGAGTGGCACAGCAATAATAATTACAGCCATCAGGAAATGATGGAATTGTTTTGGTTCAAAGGGACCTTAAAGCACATCTAGTTCCACCCCCTGCAATGGGCAGGGACATCTTCCACTATCCCAGGTTGCCCCAAGTCCCATCCAAACTGGCCTTGGACACTTCCAGGGATCCAGGGGCAGCCACAGCTTCTCTGGGCACCCTGTGGCAGGGCCTCACAAGGGAGAATTTCTTCCCAATATCCCATCTAACCCTGCCCTCTGGCAGGGGGAAGACATTACCCCTTGTCCTGTCACTCCAGATCCTTGTAATAAGTCTCTCTCAAAATTCTGGCATCCCTCTAAGTACTGGAAGGGACTTTAAGGTCTTGTCCAGCTTCTCATCCACCTAAACATCCAAGTTCTTCTCCACAAGGCTGTTCTCAGAAAAGCCTGTGCACTGTGCCCCAAGCACAGAGTGTCACGCCTGCCCCCCTCTGATCACTCCCAAAAAGGCTGCACCACTGTCCCTAACCACCACCCACCAAGGGGACCAGCATGTCCCAGCCACCCAACACCCAGCCCTAGTTTGGATACTGGAAAGCAGGAAGAGCTGGGAATGACTGGCAGAGCAGGAAGAGTCTCATCCATGTGCAATATGCACACCCACGGCATGGCTGCATCACAACAGACCAGTGCTGATGGGGCTGAGGCACTGTGGGACACAGGACAGCACGGTGGGACACTGCAGTGTGTTGTGCAGTGGCACAAAGTGGTGCAGCATGGCATGGATGCACTGTGAGGTGTGGCAGACCCCACCACGGCATGATACAGTCAGATGTGCTGTAGCGTGGTGTGGCATCGTGTGACATGGGGCTGGATGGTGGAGGAGCTGAAACTGCCCCACAGCCAGTGCTGCCCACCTGAGGTGGCCAGGCAGAGGAATCTGTGGCACCCTGCCAGCGCCAAGGGGTTGATGCCTCTCCTGGAATGGACAGGGAGCACCAGGCGACGAGCGGGGGCTGCACTGCCACAGCTGTGCCTCGCCATGAGCTCAGCTGCTGCCCAGCGGATGCAGAGCTGCGATGCCTCAGCCCCCCAGCCTGACCTCTGGCATCACCATCCACACACCCCTGCACCATCCTGGCCCCCACTTCCCCCTCCCTTTTCCAGCCCTCTGATAGTAGGTCAAAGCCTTTCCTTACAGACCCTCCGTGTGACCAGGGAATCTGATCTGGCTGCGCCACCAAAACACGGACTGGAGCTATTTCGGTAGGTCCTATAAAAAGACCCAACGGGCCCCCAGCAGCCGCTAAGCCCAGGGTGGGATTGTCACCCCACCTCCCTCAAAATGAGGTGTGGGACTGGCGGGGGTGGAATGTGCCCGAGGAACGGGGGGAGCCCCTCGGCCGTGGGCGAGCAGCGGCTGCACGCCGGCAGCGCGGCGCGTTCCTGAGCCAAGGGGTCACCAACAGCCGGGAGCGCCTGCAGCACCGCCGGCACTCGGCCCATCCCAGGGCAGGATCCACACAACCGGGAATGGGAGCCAGGACCAGCAGGGATGGTGCACCCAGACTCGAAGATGCGGGATGTCAGAAGCTCCTGGACTGGCCAGCAGCAGATTTTCCTGCATTTCTTTATGTTTCCTGACCCAAGCCAGCATGGAGAAGTTATTCTGTTATTCTGCAGACTAAAGCAAAGGTTTCAAAATCCCAGGCTCAACCCTCACTTCAAATCCCAGGATATTACATGTTAAAAGAGCAGGAATTCCTCCTTAAGGACAGTTTAAAAAAATAACAATTCCTGCAAGTACAGTAACAAAATTCAGAATCACTTAAAGTGCTACTGTCAGGAAAAGCAGAGCCCAAGAGCCTCTGGGAATCCAGGAGCAGCTCGCAGACTTTTTCTTGGAAGTGAGTGAAGATCTATCTTCTGCCTTTTTTTCAATTACTGAAAGCTCCTTTCCCAGCCCAGAACACTTTATTTTGGTGTAAAGGGCTCAGTATGACACCTTGGATCTGTAACAAATTCTAGAATATTTCTGTGGTTGGATTTTCACATTTTAATGTTTGGGGCTCTCAGGTAAGAGGGTCTCAACGATATGCAAAGAGTATGATTTCATAGTCCATAAATTCCATAAAACAGCTTCTTTTATGTCTAGATAGCATTTAAGCAGCCTAGAGAATTTGGAATTTAGCCCACAGTGGAATAACTGACTAAGAAGTTCTGCTGGTCCTCCTCTTCAGGCAACCACAGTCTCGCTTGCTGGAGCTGCTGCTGGAGCTCTGTGCTGGGTCCTTCCTGTTCAACCCACTCCTTTTGTGCCAGTGACTCACAGGACAAGAATGCCAACTGGGAGCGGATCTGAGGCTCCAAGGCTCACTGCAGCCAGCATTTGAGGCCGAGTTTTCCCATCTGGCCCTGCCTCATCCCTGCAGCCAGCGTGGCCACCCCAGCACCGCCAGCAGGGTCCAGTCCTGTCATTCCTGGTGGAGTGAGCTGCCATGTGACTTCAGGAAGAGCTCATCCCTGGTGTTCTGTTGCTGCTCGTTGCTTGCTGTGCTGGCTGTGGAGGTTTGGGTACAGCTGGAAGACACCAGCTCTTCGGGATACGACTCTTTCAAGGGACAGCAGTGCCATTGATAAGTGACAAACGGAGGGGAAAGTGCTGATGATTACACTTGTGTCTGCAGCAGATTCGCCCTCTCCAGGGACCAGAAGTATCCAGGGTTCTGGGCATCAGTGCCTGGAAAGCCCCATAGTAAATCCCAGATGACTCAAGGACAAATCTCTTTTCCTTAGAAGCCTTCTGTGCTCAGCTCTGGATTCCACTGTGAGGAGCAGAGCCAGAAGCCTGGAGCTCACCAGCCATGGGGCTGAGCTGGGAGTACTTCTGCCAGAGGGAGAGGGATGAGACAAATCCTCTCCTGTCCCCTTGCTCTGGGGGTCCAGTGGTTGGCAGAATTTGGCTCTCTGGGACTTGAGCATCTCCCCCCATATTCCTTCCAAACACACCCTGACCCCGAACATGGCAGCAGCCTCTGGATAAGGGATCAGCACACAGGTGAGTCCTCTCTGGCCTTGGGGAGCCCCAGCCCTGTAAGCCCTTCCTGCCAGCACTGTTGATCCTGCTCCAGCCCAGCCAAGGTTTGAGTTCTCCCTTCTCCTGCCCTCAGGTCCTGCTTTTATTCCTGGGAAGCCTCACAGGCTCCAGCTGGCACTGGGCTAAAAATAAAAACTTCCATGGCAGCTGTGTCACTCCCACTTCCCTGGAGAGGAGGATGAAGACAGACCTTCCTCCTCCTCCCCAGAGGGTTTCACTGGCCTCTCCATTCTTCCTGCTAGATCTGACAAGATCACAAATTCCCTAATGAAAAGGGAAGCAGAGACTCATTCTGGAGGTCCGGGTGCCTCCAAATCCCACAGGATTTGATTCCCTGTGCTGCGAGAGCCATGGGTAAAAACAATCCAAGAGGAGAAAAAACAACAGAGGCATCAAATACTCAAGAAACAAATGTCTCAAGAGAAAAGATGGAGGGAAAGGGGGCCTCAAGATATTTTATTTTTAGCTTTTAAAAGCAGGAAGAAGAAGAAAAAAAAAAAGATTGAAAATTGCAGCTGAGCTGCCAGGAAATCCAAATGTTAATGGAAAGTTGGATCTGCTCTGGCTGTGCTCAGCACAGACAGGCACGAGGCTGCGAAGTCGATGTGATGGATTCAGAGAGGGCTCAGGGAGAGCCCCACAGAGCAGCATCTGCTACTGCTCCCCCTCCACTCTGCCCCAAAATCCTAGCCAGAGTCACCAGAGCTTGTTGGAACAGCTCCAGGCATGAGCCCACCAGGCTGCTGGAAAGATGCCAACACTCTCAGAGGTGCCAGAGCCCACCCAATGCATTTTTAGGAAACACTCTGGTTTCCCTCTCCACTATTAATCCCCACAAGTGTTCCTGAAGCCTGGGCAACCCTGGGCTTCATACACTGGAAGAGGACCAATGAGTGGGATGGAGCTCATAGAGGCGCAGGCGTTTCCCTCCTTCCCTGCCTCCAAATTGCAGCTGCCCCACCCTGGAAAAGGTGCCAGCTCAGGGAACTAGCTGGCTCCTGCCCCATCCATAAATCTTTAGGACATCTGCAAATTCCCCAGGACTGCAGGTCTCACCTGGCTGCCAGGGGCCACAGCTGCCTGCTCCTGGCTATGCAGACTGAGAACACTATCCCAGAAAAGGCTGTTGCTCTCATGCTTGCAGCTTGGAACCCGAGGCAGGAGCGGCAGTGTGTGCCCATGGAAGTCTCTGATTGCTGGGAGGACTCAGGGAACCCATTTTGCCCCACCTTGGGCAGGCTGCTCTCCATGGCGCTGCCTCCAGTGCCAGGGATCCGTCCCAGGATCACCACACGTACCCCCGGGATCGCTCCCCCATCCCAGGGATCATCACCCCATTGCAGGGATTGTTTTCCAGCCCCAAGGATTGTTTCTCCATCAAGGATTGTTCCCCCATCCCAGGGACCAGGGCCCCACAGGACAAGCGGCAGGGACAGCAGGAGGAAAGGCGGACCTGGAAAACCTCTGCAGTGGGGCAATGGGAATGTGGCAAAGCAGCTTCTCCCAGCTTCTGACTCATCTGTGCCGCAGTGCCTGTGCCAAATCACCAGGATAAACACAGGCCTGTCTCCTAGCAGGGGAGCTGGAAATAGCCAGCCTGATGTATAGCGAGGACAACGTCTACATGGAGCCGGCATCCTGCTGGGCACCAGAGCCCTGCCAGAGGCAGCTGGGGATGCCAGCTGTTCACAGCTGCATGGAAACAGCTTCCACCTCTGGCATCAGTGGTGCCAAAGACCCTTCATGATGCCAGGTTCAGTGCCTGATATCAGCCCCTGATACACTCATGGCCACATGCCCATCCATGGGGCTGAGGGGCTTGTCCAGCCCCTCCACCTGGCCCCAGTGGAGCAACAACAGCTCACTGGCATCTCCCAAGAGCTGGGCTTCCCCTCC